GTAAGTGAAATATATTACAATATAATATATATTAGGAGCTCTGGTAGCATAGTGGCTAAAGCACTTGACTGCTAACCAGAAGGCTGGCAGTTCAAACCCTCCAGCCACTCCTCGGAAGGAAGGTTGGGCAATCTACTTCTGTAGTGATACCACCTCGGAAACCCAAGAAGGGGTCGCTATGAGTCGGGGCCGACTCGATGGCACATAACAACAACAACAAGCATAAGAATTATTAATATACCAATTAATTATATTACATATGTATTTAACATATAATTATATGATTTAATATAATTTAAATTATAGACATATAATAAGCTTACATTATAGATCTATGATTTAGAATTATATATATTTACATACACACACGCATGCGTGTATTTTGATGCTTCATTCTTACTTTTCCTCATTAAATTCACACAGGAGGGGCTTGCCCTCTCTATCCTCCAATGTACATCAAACCCGCAGCACGTCTGCGACTCTCACGTCCAAGGTGAGAAGAAAGTATTTGCCCCATGTGACCAAGAGCAGCTCTGGTTCAGGGCTCCCGTACGGCACTCAGGGTCTAAGTGCATGAGTGCGTGGACTCATGTCTCCTGTAAACCAAGCCGCAGGAAGATCCTTTTGTTACCCGTTTTGCAAATAAGGAAATGGAGACAGAGATTGAGTAACGCCCCTGAGAGCACACAGCTAGGAACGGGCAGAAGTGCAGTGGGAGCCCAGGTCATAACCTTCATGCTTCCCGCACCATAAACGAGACGGGAGAAGGGGACTGAGAGGAGGCCGATAAGAGTCGGAGACTGGGTTCAAGCCCAGGGTCTCCTCACTGGAGCACATCACCGTCTCCTGACCACCGGGCCCAGGACCCTCCCACAGGCGTTCTCTCTGGAGCAAAGCACCTGTTCTCCCACATTCTGCACCTGTAGCTTTTGACTACGTCCCACCAGCCTGGGCTCCGAGCTTTGAACCTCACAGGCAGTGGCCCCGGCCAGGGTCGGAGGATCACCCAGGATCACACAGGTCACTGCGGGTGTGAAAGATCCGTAGAAGGCTCACCACCGTGATAGGAATGACACATTAATGAGCAACGGCCTCACATTCACTGTCAAAAGATCATTTTGAGATCTGTCCTGAAGTACAATGCTGTCAATGATAGATAGCATAATATCCATACGACTAGTTAATACGACCATCACTCAAATTTATGCACTAACCACTAATGCCAAAGATGAAGAAATTGAAGATTTATCTGACCAATTTCTGCCTTTGAAATTGCTCAAACGTGCAGTCAAGATGCATTGATAATTACTAGTGATTGGAATGTGGAAGTTGGAAACAAAGACAGATCGGCAGGTGGAAAATGCGGCATTGGTCATAGAAATGGCTCAGGAGAGCACGTGATAGTGCCTTGAACAGTTTCTCTTAGAAAGATCAGCACAAGGCCGGTCCCCATGAGGCGGAGGTTAAAGATGTCCCAAATGTTCAAACTACCATGCCACTCCATCATTTCAGACATCAGCTCCTCCTTTCAGTAACCTCCCCGTCTTAGGGTTCTGTATTTCGCTGTAACGCCTCACAGAACTCACAGACACCCAAGGGTTCGTCTCACGTAGTGGTGGTGGAGGCTGGCAGGCTGGGGAGTCCCAGGTCCGTGAGTGCGTCAGAAGGATCCTCCTAATTCTCGGGGTTTGATGAACCTCGATCAGCAGATCAGATGACGGCTGCTGTCCCCAATCCAGGGGTGAGATGAGGATGAGCCAAGACACAAAACTGGAGCAAGAGGAGGGCGAACCTTCCCAGGAGACTCGTAGGTACACCCTCCAGGAAGCTACGGGTGGTGATTTGAATTATACCCTCCAGCAAGGCAGGACTCAAGACACATCCCACCTGTGTTGCCCCAACAGAAATAACCCAAGTGGATGGCTTTAACAATCAGCAGCTACTCAGTTGCTCAAAGCATATCCCACCACAGAGCCGATTGCCAGTCATTATAGGGAACGACTACTACCAGCTGCCCAGTCAAGTTGACACCCGACCTTAGCTACCACAGCACCCCAAACAGGCATGGATGGTAGGATTTACAATACATCACAGAATGGAGGACAGTGGCTAGAAGGGCCACATCAAGCAATTCACCGCAATAGTATTTTGCAAGACAAACAACTTTATTCATTAAAAATGTCTCTTTTCAGCAACAGAAGCAAAGACTATACATGAGGACCTCACTGGATGGAACACTGGGAATCAATCAACTACGTCAGTGGAAAGAGCTGATGGAAAAGCTCATCGTCGGTCAGAGCAAGGCCAGGCGCCGATTTTGGAGCAGACCATCAAGTGCTCATATGAGAGTTCAAGTTGAAGCCGAAGTCCATGAGAGCCAACGTTTGACTCTGAGTACATCCCACCTGAATTTAGAGACTACCTTAAGAACAGACTGGATGAATTGAACACCAATGACCAAAGACCAGACAGGTTGTGGGATGGCATCAAGAACATTATACAAAAATCACTAAAAAGACAGGAAAGAAAAGACCAAAAGAGATGTCAGAAGAGACTCAGCAACTTGCTCTTGAACAGAGAGTAGCTAAAGTGAATGGAAGAGGTGATGAAGTAAAAAAGCTGACCAGAAGGTTTCACAGGGGTGGCTTGGAAGGGCAAAGTATTATAATGAAACACGCAAAGATGTGAAATTAGAAAACCAAAAAGGAAGAACATGTTCAGTATTTCTCAAACCGAAAGAACGGAAGCAAAAATTCAAGCCTCGAGTTGCGATATTGAAGGATTCTAAGGGCAAAATATCACATGACACAGGAAGCATCAAAAGAAGATGGCAGGAATGCATAGAGTCACTGCACCACGAAGAACTGGCCGACATTCAGCCCTCGCAGCAGGCAGGGTGTGATGGAGAACTGAT